CCCGTTTCCACTCCGGACTGAAGACTGAGGGCCCTCTGCAACAGGGAAGACCCCGGAAAATCTGCGGTAAGTCGCAAGTCACTCAAAATTTACCTTAAAGATAGTTACGTGCCCAGTTCTATTTAGCTGGAGCTATCCAGAATTAATTAAAAATACAACAAAAAAATACAATCACTCTCGAGTAGGTACTTTTCTTGAATCTTGAATGTAATCTGTGACGTAAAATTCGTCCAATAACCCTAAAATATCAACACTTAAAAGTTAAGGGTACTTTAAGTGGACAAATTCGGCCACTTAAAATAAGGGACCCAAACTCGAGGAAGCCGTACAACGCAATTTCTTAGTTTAAGGATCACTTAGCGTGTTCCTTACTATGATGCGGCGCAAACGAGCATAAGTTAGATTATTACTTTGTGTTGTTACCAATTTGTATTCCATTGTAGTTTCTCCTGAGGCAGGAATAATTTGTTCCGAAAGCTCGAGTAATAAAAAATAAGAGTACACTTCAAATTTGGCCTTGACTGCATACCCGACTATACTTTGAAATTTTGTTATATATAAATTTGTTCAAAAATATGTAGTTATATTTAAGTAGAAGTCGTTTTTATAAACGTTTTATATTATATTTATATATTGTAATTATCTATTGTATTTATGGCATTTATGTAGATGCAAGGATAAAAAATAAATAGTATTTATTTCCTTATTTATTTTATTAATGTTATAATTCACAAATTATTTCTTGAACAATTGTAGTTGTGTCCTTATCTATTCAAATAAAATAATATTTTAGTACTGCCTTCTATTTATTTCAGATTTAAAAAACATTTCATATACCTACAAATATTGTTATATAAAGTATAAAAATTTAATAAAGCTTATTATTATTGTCTTTAAAAATAAATCGGGAGAGGCATTCTCGGTCACGTGACTTAGGGCAAATCGCCGCCGCTTGGCGCTTTCGCTGTTCATGTTGGAACAGCTGAAATGCGCAAAAAGTTGGCTTTAACTCCATCCATATACTATTATATCTATGGATAATTATGTATTATAAAATAAATATTCTTTATTTCTTTGTCCGTAATTTGTGTTCTTGGGTTAGATACAGTATACAGTAGTACAGTACAAACAAAGTTTACAGAATATTTATTCTGTAAACTTTGGTACAAGGAACGTAATATCCTGTTAGGGTACACAGTCACAGTACACACATGAGTAATTAGTTAATCATATGGGTACACATACTACAAAATACCATTAATATACGACTTCACTCGCGAAAAAACTGAAAAAAGCCTAATATGTAATATGTCTTCGTTATCTCTTCCTCAAAAAAGATTTTATAGACAAAGAGCACATTCTAACCCTATTGCAGATCATTGCTTTAATTAGTGAGTACCTTTTTTTAATTAAAATATATTTTCATTTTACATTTTTTCAGCCCCCGGACTCCAGATGAAATGGACTGGAGTAAATATTATCCAGAAAAAATGTTAGATTCTAATATAAAAGCTGAGGTTGATATTGTGGATATTGGTTGTGGTTATGGTGGTTTATTACTAACTTTATCACCAATGTTTCCAAATAATTTAATAGTAGGCATGGAGATACGTGTAAAAGTTTCTGACTATGTTATGGATAGAATAGCAGCTTTACGTTGCCAGCATCCTGGCATATATCAAAACATAGCTTGTTTAAGAACTAATGCTATGAAGTATTTTCCAAACTATTTTAAGAAAGGACAGGTAAGATATTGTCTATATATGACTGTATGAAGTATATAGTATATGAGTATAGTAGAATCTCTACAATTTTTAATGGTGCCGGATTAGTGAGATTGTGCTGTGTATTCATTAATGTTTGATGTACCTGAAGTTCCGAACGCTCGTTTGACTAAAAATGAAAACCCGTAATATCACGTTTAATCGTACTTAAAATGTTTTTACCAACTAAATTCTGACTTCTGTAAACGAAAACAATAGTTCCCCATCATCAGAAGCCGCCCCCAATATTAACCATCCTTAAAACTTAGTTACATGTATTTTAGAAAATTAGCCCCGTACCACATACCACATTTGACATAGGTTGTTAACATTACTTTTATACTGATTTTTAAGAAACATTTGGACTTTTTGTCACTATCGGAAAACACCCTGTCAACAACCCTTAAAACTGTCATTACTTATATATCCAATCAAGCTTAAAAAGCCACGTTAAATTTGATTTAAAAAGTTTATGTGGAAACTACCCTATCACTATGAACTACCCTTGGAAAGGTCAAGTATTCTGTTCCAAATATCAAGCCTGCTATCACATTAAATCTGCCTTAAAATTTTACGATAACATCTATATTGATTTGTAAATACTATTACTGCTCTTCATTGCCATCAGAACCCACCTCGTCAACTACCCTTAAACGGGTAATATCTTATATCCCCTGTATAAGGCTGAAAGCCATAATAGATTTTAAGTAAATTGTTAAAATTATATTTGTATTGACTTATGACGACTATTAATATCCTTCGTTACCACCGGAATCCACCCCAACAACAACCCTTAAGTCAGTTGTTTATTATTTCCCTGTTATCAAGCTTAAAGCCATAATAGATTTTAAGTAAATTGTTAAAATTATATTTATATTGACATGACAACTATTAATATATCCTTTGTTGCCACCGGAATTCACCTCAACAACAACCCTTAAATCAGTTGTTTATTATTTCCCCGTTATCAAGTTTAAAGCCATAATAGATTTTAAGTAAGTTGTTAAAGTTATATTTATATTGACTTATGACAACTATTAATATCCTTTGTTGCCACCGGAATCCACCCCATCAACAACCCTTAAATCAGTTGTTTATTATTTCCCCGTTATCAAGCTTAAAGCCATAATAGATTTTAAGTAAATTGTTAAAATTATATTTATATTGACTTATGACAA